TATGCTCTATAATATTTTATCTCCTACCATACTAAGACATTTGAAGAGAAGCAATAATTTAGTAAGAAAGTGGCAGCTTCTGCCCCAAGCTCTACCCTAACAACAAACTGCAACTGAAGGGGTCTAATGGACTTCTATATTTTCCTAGCTGGTGTAAATGCAACGACCAGTTCCATTGGATGACATGTAGAAAGAAGGAAGAGAAGCTCTATCACTCCACTTTCTTTGTCCTCACAAGACACCAAAAAAGCAACTTATTATTAGTCTCTTGACAAAAGACTATTGTGGACCCCATTGTGGATGGGGTAGGGCAGGGAGGGGTAGAATAATAACTCCTTTTAATCCTCCCCACCACACTGGCCACATAAATGGGAACAAGACATGATCTAGTGTTTGAAATTAATCTCCACTCAAAAATTCTTTTAAAATAGCACATTCTTTTTGTTTTTTTCTTCTTTTAGATTTGTAAAAAATATTTCAACATAAGCCATTGTTTTTATTTTCCTGAAAAACAGAATGGAAGGGAGAAGAAAGAAAAAGAAAAAGGATAAATAATTTCTTTCAAGAGACTAGCATGAAATATGATTTTTACTTATTACAGAGAAAATTTCAGAGATAATGGAAAGAGAATTATAGTGAAATGTAATTATCAATTAATTACTTTTTAAATTATGTTGCCTGATCTCAAAATGGTGCTAAAAATGTAGAGTCATCAGCAGCTTTCATCTACTGACAGTAATAGCTCTGAGTTATTTTTTAGGTTTGGGTAAGTTCCTTTAACTGATTATTTATTTTTAAACAATTTGTATTGACCCAAAAAAGAACTACTGAAAAATTTTCTAGGTTTTTGGGGAAAAAAAAAGCAGGGACCGTATAGAGAGGGTTAATAAGCTAAAAACCATTAATTACTGAGAATACATATTTTTTTTTGTGTTTAAAATGTATTTCTAATGTTCAAAGGTAGAAAGTCAAATTAATTTTGGAATTCCTCATGAAGATTGGCTTTGCTCATCAAAGTTTAATTTAAATTGAAAGTCCTTAGCATTTTCTGAACTAAGCATTTGCTTTAATACAGTTTTTACATGATTACTTTTGAAAATTCTGGTAACCAAACAAAACTAGTTCTTAGCTAAAGCAGCCTCCAAATTCTCATTTGCTGATATGAATGTTTACAGAAAAAAAAAAAAAAACAACAAAAAATCACACACTCTCACAGGCTGCTCCTACCAAATATTCCATATGGCCAAATAATATTTGGGTATTACCAATACACAGACATATAGTATTGCCAAAATTTTCCCTCAGCTCTTCAAAGAAGTAAAAGCAACAAAGCATCTGAAATGGAAATCGGAAAATTTTTATGCATTAACTAGATTTTTAAGCATAATCTTCTAGTACTTTCTCATGTTATTAAAACAAATTGATGCCAATTACCAAAATAAGTCTGGAATGTATACACCAACCACTGTAGTCTCATCCCAATCTTACATTTGGTTAAAAGAAAAACCAAAGACACTTTATTACCAGCAGTTTTTCTTTAGTACATAATTCTATACATGCACAAGTTCGTACATCCATAAGTATTACACATATAAATACGTATATTTAATACATTATTTTTACTAAATATGCTATATTTACTATACAAATGTGGCAAAGTTTCTTAAGAAAGAGTGTTAAGGCACATTCTAGAAGGATCTTGTAGGAGATCACCACTCAGAGTCTTTTGAAATTACTACAAACCAAACAAAGTGACAAGTATGTAGATTGCATTCTGTCCCAGAAAACTTGTCATCCAAAAATTAAAATTACTACAGAAGTTAGGAAAAATGGACTAGGCAGTATGGTTCAGACTAAAACCGAATAAAATAGCAAAATGAATGAATCTCTAAAAAAAGTCAGTTATGACAAAAAGGTTGGGTTGAAACAAACAATTTATCTGCTTGTGAAGATTGTGTAAAATCCTAGTTACAAACATATCTTAATTATCATTTTCATAATGTGGTTAAAATTAAGAAAAATAATTTTTCTGTACATGTTCTGTATCAGTAGTTTTTTACATATTTTACCTGTAATGACCTTCTCTGCCCATTGTAAACTTTTGTGGAGGTTAGTTCAGCTACATTTATTAAAAATAATTGCTACAGCACTTTTTGTAATAAACCAGTCACTGTCCATCCCTCCCTCTTTAGTTTTGAAGTATACTTGACAAACTTCCACTTCAGGAATTAACTGTTTTCTGAGATTTAACTAATTTTGAGCCTGACTAACTGGAACTTTCACTTGAAATAATCACTTATACCAATAGAAAAAGGTTTAAAATATCCCATCCCATTTGTCAACAACTTACATCTACTTTACCCCAAGTAAATTTACAGGTTTTAGTAAAAGTGTAGCTATGATAACTAAGATTGAGTTTCTCCTTACCAGAATTTAAAAGTTTAGTTTAGAAAGAGGTAAAAAGATATGAGCAGTGGCATCTGCTTAGTTATATATGCATACATTCATATATATCAATACCTGTATTGCATAAGAGGACTTCAAGACATTTCCATTAGTTGATTAATTCCTGCAATAAATTATAATTTAAAATATTTTTTCTATATTTTTTTCTCTATGCAGTTTCATAAATGTTATCTAGATGTCACCATGCAGGTGAATCAATTGTAGCTGCAGTCATCATCATAGAAACCAATCCAGAAGATAACATATTATTCTTCAGAATGAAAACAGTAAATAAAAAAAAAACAAAACAAAACACACACACACACACACAAAAACCTACTCACAAATAAATATTCTGTGCAAAAGTTTTTAAATTGTCTTTCTTAACGTAACAAGGCTCATAAAGCTTAAACATACGGTACTGTGCAATACAAAAAAGTAGAGCAAAAGAAGGACAAAGATGGGATCTTAAGGCAGATAAGGGAAGCATAAAAAGGAAAGTAAGATATCGAGGAGGGAGATTAGCACTGTTAGCATAGACTAGGAAAAGGAGACAGAAGGACCATTAAAGATCATAAAAAATGTTCAGAAGCAAACAGTTTTGCAGCAGAAATTGACTATCTGAAACATTTTACACCTCAGTGCCCTCAACACACTCCACAGAAAACAGGCTCACAGCCAGACTGCCAGCATCTCTGTCTGGCAGGCTTCCCAACTCTCTAGGTATCCAGGAAGCTCTCCCTAGAAATTTTGCCCAGAGCGCCAGAAAAACACTGAGTTCCCAGTGTCTAAAACATAAACTTTTCTGCTGGTGATATTCGCAAGATGCTACATTTTTCTCTTTCATAGCTAGAATTATACAACTCCAGCTTCCTAAACGTGAGGGACAGGCTTCTCCTACATAATATATATGCTATAGTTCTGCACATCCCACTAACCCTTCTGTAAATTAGTTCCAAATTGAGGTCACTTTGTCACATGTGGGTTTTGCAGTACCTTTTTCATAGAAAATTAAATCTTCCTATCTGTAGTAGAAATACTTCACTTTATATATTATAACAAGGCAAGGTCTTTAAAGTAAGTTAATATTTTCAGTCACATCAAAGAACATAGCTTAGGGAAAAAGCATAAAGAATCCTTTCAAACCATATTTCTGTGTGCTTGAAATTTTAATTAGTTTTCCACGTATGTCAATGGGCCTAAGACATTACCGTTTTTTCACAAGTTTTGTCTTGTTCTCAGACCACCATGGCCACAGGAGTACTATTACAACATCCCAGTAACATATTTCTCCTCTTCACGACCAAACCACAATGATGCTTTGCATTCATCCTGTGATCAACTATATACACATCAATTTATCTAAAAATGCCACTTGTGCCAGGGTACAGCACACTGTACTCTGCATGAGTGCATTTCATTCCATTTACTATAGTCCATAAAATCATCAAGCTTTTCCAGTGTAGTATCCAGAATTTCTCAATTTTAGCAACAATTCCTAAATTTGGTTTAGTATGTTGATTCTATTAGTATTCATCTAATTTGACAAAGTTATTAGCTAAATATTGATGAGATTAGTCTCAAGACTGGTCATAGACACACTGCTTTAACCTGAAAACCTTCTCTTTCAAGACCCACTGTAGTCACTCTGCTAGCTTTCTAAAAAAAGTAACTTTGGTAATCTGAAGAAAACGGAGTCCTTTTGTGAACGGGGAGTACTGCCCTTAGTAACACACCTCCAAAAACTCAACTGGCCTCTGACCCCAGAAAGTGAGGGTTTCCTACAAAACTAATCCTTTCACTCTCTTGACTTTTTCATTGTTCTCATGTTCTGGCTGCCTCTTGCCAGAACAGCAGAGAAGGGGCTTTTTAACACCTCTATGCTACAAAGAAAGAATAACTGGGTCATTTAAAAAAACTTGTTCATTTCATTAGTCCTTCTTCCCTAGCTTTTTTCTTTTTTTCATTTTACTTTTATACCTGGTTTTAGGCTACTGAAGCTTCTCAGGAGTAGACTCTTGGGTTGATGATCAGCTCTTTAACCATTTCTCTTGCAATCGCTGCAAAGTCACAATCGCTTAAAGCACACTGTAAGCCTTATTCAAATTATTAAATCTATTTTTTAAGCCTTCAATTTTAAGCCTGCTACATATAAATGGTATTATATGGTTATAGAATCTGCATTTAATATTTTTCCGACGTGTGTTCTTGTCCTTTTAGAATAATAAAAACCATTACAAGACCTCACAGGAAGCAGAAATTTCTGTGACAAATACAGAACAAGTCAATTACTTGCTCTTAACTTATTTCTCATATTCAACTCAATTAATGTTAGCAAAATTATGTACTGTGAATGATAAAAATGAAGTTCAGTGAAAAAGTCTGACACCATAAACGGAGTGCACTCTGCTCTCAGCTTTAAATATTCATCTATTATCTGACAGAATAGCCACATGCAGTATTTATTAACAAGTACATCTCAGTGAAAAGCCTACAAAATAAAAGATACTGAACCCATGCATAAAAAAAGAAAAAATCAAATAAGGATTACTTACTTGATTAAGTATATCCTGTTTCTGTAAGGCATGCAAGGAAAGAAAGAAGACACATACATTAGTGCAGTGTCATAACACTGAAGCTCTATTTTTGTAAAAGAAATATTCTTGGTGAAAGGTTAGTGATTTAAATGAACAGGTTTAAGAGATTAGATAGAATATTCCATTTTTTTGCATTAGCACATAAGTCAAGAAAATGGCTCGAAGTCAGCATGCTAGTCTTGATTAGACAGTGCAAGAAATTTACTTTTAAACATGCAGTGATAGTTAACCAAGGAAAAAAAAATAAATCTAATGCTTGCCTTTCATCCCTGTGTACTTTAAAAAATAAAAAAAAATAAAAAAAATTGTTACCAAGAAGAGCTGTTTAATGCAAGAACTTATCAGAATGAATACAATGATAAACTACAAAAATCCTATTAAAAAAAAAAAAAGAGAAAAAGGTATGACATCCAGGGAGCTCTGTAGAAACTTGATAATGGGTCCACAACAACCTAATGAGGTTCAACAAGTCCAAGTGCAAGGTGCTACTTTGGGTCGGGACAATCTCGAGTACGAGTATAGACTGGGAGACCTCATTGACAGCAGCCCTGTGGAGAAGGACCTGGGGGTTCTGAGGGATGAAAAGCTGGACGTGAGCCAGCAGTCCTTGCTTGCAGCCCTGAAGGCCAACTCCATCCTGGGCTGCATCCACAGAGGTGTAGCCAGTAGGTTGAGGCAAGTGCTTTTGTCCCTCTACTCTGCCCTTGTAAGTGATGCATCCAGCTCTGGGGTCCTCAGCACAAAAAAGACATGGACCTACTTGGGTAGGTCCAGAGGAGGCCATGAAGATGATCAGAGGAATGGAAAACCTCTCTTGTGAAGACAGGCTGAGAGAGTTGGTGTTGTTCAGCCTGGAAAAGGCTCCAGGGAGATATCATAGTGGTCTTTCAGTACCTGAAGTGGGCTTATAAAAAAGACTGAGAGGGATTTTTACATGGGCAAATAGTGATAGGACAAGCGGAAACAGATTCGAATGAAAATAGGAGAGATTTAGATTAGCTGTTAGGAAGGAATTCTTTACGCAGAGGGTATTGAGGCACTGGAACAGGTTGCCCAGAGAAAATGTGGATGCCTCATCCCTGGAAGTGTTCTAGGACAGGTTGGATGGAGTCTTGAGCAACCTGATCTAGTAGGTGGCTTCCCTGCTTATGGGGAGGGGGTTGGAACTAGATGATCTTTAAGGTCCCTACCAACTCAAGTCATTCTGTGATTCTAAGATAAACACATTAACAACAAAAGGAGGGCTAAAGAGACTCTTCATCCTTTATTGGATGCAGGCAGAATCATGTTGATGAAAGATGAGGAAAGGGCAGAGGTACATAATGCTTTCTTTGCCTCAGTCTTTAATAGTAAGACCAGTTGTTCTCATGGTACCATGCCCCCTGAGCTGGAAGGTTGGTTAGGGAGCAGAATGAAGCCTCCAGAATCCAAAGGGAAATCGTTGTCCACACCACTTAAGACACATGTGAGTTTATGGAGTCAGATGGGACCCACCCAAGAGCACTGAGGGATCTGGTGCAAGTGCTTACCAAGCCACTTTCCATCATTTACCAGCAGTCCTGGCTAACAAGGGAGGTCCCACTTGACTGGAGGTTGGTAAATGTTGCATTCATCTACAAGAAGGGTTGAAAGGAGGATTCAGGTAATTACAGACCTCTCATCCTGACGTCAGTGGCATGGAAGGTCATGGAGGAGTCCATCTTCAGTGCCATCACATGGCACATACAGGAGAATCAGGGGATCAGAACAAGCCAGCATGAATTTTGGAAAGGCAGGTCCTACTTGACCAACCTAAACTCCTTCTGTGACAAAGTGACCCACTTAGTAGATGAGGGAAAGGCTGTAGTTGTTGCCTACCTGGACTTCCATAGAATCGTTATGATTAATGTTGGAAAACCTCTAAGGTCTTTAGAATAGCCTTTGACACTGCATTCTCCTGGAGAAACTGTCTGCTCATGGCTGGGACAAGTGCACTCTTTGCTGGGTAATAAACTGGTCAGATGACTGAGCCCAGAGAGTGGTGGTCAACGTAGTTATATCCATCTGGTAGTCAGTCACCAGTAGTGTTTCCTCGGACTTGGTGTTGGTGCCAGTCCTGTTAAATATCCTTGTCAACAATCTGGACAAGTTTATCAAGCGTAACTTGGTCAGTTGGGTGGGAGTTTTCATTTCCTACTTGAGGGTAGGAAGGCTCTGCAGAGGGATCTGAACAGGCTGCATCAATGGGCTGAGAACAAAGGTATGAGGTTCAAAAAGATCAAGTGTCATGTCCTGCACCTGGGTCACAACAATCCCATGCAGCAGTACAGACTTGGGAAAGAGTGGCTGGAAAGCTGCCCAGTGGAAAAGGATCTGGGGTTGCCGGTTGACAGCAGCTGAACATGAGCCAGCAGTGTGCCCAGGTGGCCAAGAGGACCAATGACATCCTTGGCCCAAAATCCACTCAGATTACTTCAGGTAACAAACTCCAAATACCAGTAGCTTTTCTTGTGCTATTTGCATCCCATTAGATCAGCTTGTGATAAAAACTGCAGTATAGAAGCAATGGAGTGGAGTAAATTCCTGAACCCTTTAAGCAGAGGGAAGCTTGAATCAGGAAGTTCCTAAGGCTTTAAGTACATAAATATATCTCTCTGCTATTCTTGCCATAGCTCTTCTGTCCCATGTTTATTGGTAAAAAATAGTACCATCCTTTGGTAGAACAAGACTTGAAAAAAAACACTTTGAGTGCTTATAAGATAACAATATAGGAAATAGAAAGTTAAAATGGAAATATGATGGTATCCTCTACAAAACACAGCAACAAAATGGAAGTGCTATCTATAATATGTGTAAATAAATAGCTGGACTATGACTGATCTCAGCTGGATCAGTCAATTTTCGTCATCCCATTTGCAGATAATCAATTATTTACTTCTAACCCATGAAGTCCTCATCCAACCACATAAAATCAATGTGCAAATCATTCTGTAAAGAGTTTATCCACACAGCAGGTTGAATGCATGACAAAAATACAGATACACCTGTGTAGAGGCAGTTCTCTTGTCAGAACAGAATAGTCACTCAGTGGCAGAGGAAAGCTCAGCCACTTTGCTTTCAGTTCAGCAGCTTATGGCATGAAACTTCAGCTAACAAATCCTACCAGATCCAAAGTAGCTTTGTTGCTAGGTATGTTTTCTTTATGTTGCACTCCCTGAAGTCTAAGTGCTAAGCAGTAAAGCACAAAAGCTGTCAGATTTAGCCTAGGTCCAACACTGACCCAGCAGTGGCGGAGAGCTTGATCCCTGCTGAAGACATTGAAGTCACCACAGAGCGTCTGACTTGCATTCTTCCTCCCCTTCCCTCCTCTTGTCTTGCTCACTGCCTTGCGTGTTCTCCTGCTCTATAATCCCTGGATGCTGCAATACACTAGCAGGATTCTGCAAACAAATAGCTGTGAAACGAAGAACTGGGAGACACTATGCAGAGTCATAGACTCGTCTCAAGACCAGCTGTGTTTATTAATTCCAGCTTTGCACAAATTTTGCCAATTCACCTGGCTTCAAATTAGAGCAGTTGTCCTGGGTGCCCATACTGATCACATTTTGCCATGACTCAAAGTCCACACACCCCCAAGCTGGAAGAATGACTTTGTTAAAAGAGATTAATCACACCACTTTAAATAATGATGTTTATACACAACTGATAATTTGATAACATATTACCTGCTTGGCAACATATTATTAAAATATCCATAAAATACACATTTTTCACTTTAACAGGGACCCTTCACAAAACTGAAAACATTGTATGATGACAAAGTGAAAAATTAGAAAAAAAACCATGAATAATATATAAAGACCATTTTATCACATACACTAAGAGCACAGAGAAAATTGCAGAAGTTAAAGTAAAATTAAAAAAAAGCAAACATGGAGTTTGTAAATCAGAAGTTCAGACTTTTCCTGAAAAAAAAGAACAAACAAAAAATGTGCCTATATTCTAATAAAAAACAATAGCTCCTACAGCCCACGTTACACTGGAGAATAGAGTAGATGATCACAACATTCCCATCCTTTTATATTCTGTGATTGCATTTAACTAAAAGCCTGGAAATTTGAGATGATCATTTACAGCACCAACTTATACTATTTTACTGAATCGCAAAACCTTTTCCCCAGAAACTGACTAAAATGACCAACATTTTGCTTTCCAAGTACAAAGCGTCAAATAATTTCTCAATACTTAATGAGTTATAACTATCTTAGTTTCCAGTAATTCTTGTCTTTTACACGCTGAAATGTAAGATTAAGTAATTTTCATAATGGTTAGCACATTTTTCTGTCCTGAATTTCACACAATGTGAGCACAGTTAGAAACATTAATATTAGAAACATTACTGAAACGGGTTTTTATTTAGCTACATTCTGAATCACACTATTAGGATGTGCTAAGCAAATACAAACTTCAAATGAGGATAAGAAAAGAAAACAATCTGGCTTTTTCTACCAGCCAAACCAGAATACTCTGTGTAGTGGTGAATCTGTAGTGATAATGCGCAAACACTTTTCTTTCCAGCTCAATTCTTTGTTTCATAACATCAGAAAATCCCACTACCAGAAACAGCACAAGAGAAACAGAATTTTAAAAGAACAGATTTTACTAACTTCTGAAATTATGCCTAACATGTCAAATCTTTAAAAATAATTGAAAAGCATGTTAATCTTATAATAAGGTTTGTGGGGTTGTTTTTGTTTTTTGTTTTTTGGTTTGTTTTTTTTTTTTTTTTTTGGTGGGGGTATGTCTGTGTGTTGATTTTGGCTGGGATAGAGCTAATTTCCTTCACAGTAGCTTGAATGGGACTATGTTTTGGATTTGTGCTTAAAACAGTGTTGGTGATCCAGATATGTTTTAGTTCTGGTTGAGCAGTTTTTACATAGTGCCAAGGCCTTTTGTGCTTCTCACCCCACCAACCAGCAAGGAGGCTGGGAAGGGGAGAGGGCTCAACTAAGACAGCTGATCCCAACTGGGCAAAGGGATATTTCATATCATATGGCATGCTGGTCGGTATATAAAGCTGGGGGAAGAAGAAGGAAGTGGAGACCACTCAGGGTGATGGCATTTGTCTTCCCAAGTAATCATTATGTGTCAAAGCCCTGCCTTCCTGGAGATGGCTGAACACTTGCCTGCACATGGGAAGTGGTGAATTTTGCTTTGCCTGTGTGCACAGCTTTTGTTTTACTTATTAAACTGTCTGTTTTGATTCTCTCCCCACCCCACTGGGGAGAAGGGAGTGAGCGAGTGGCTGTTTGGAGCTTAGCTGGGGTCAAACCATGACAGTTTGTTTCTTTAAATCTTAGGGAAAATAAAAAAGAAGTGGGTTTATGTAAATTATTAATAAGGTCTGTCTAATGTGATATTCATACATTTTTAGTTTTTCAAAATACTCATATTTTTGTTTTTCAAACAGTTTCAAATACCCCAAACAGCTGATTTATAAAAAATCTTCTATTTCAAATGCTTAGATTGGCTACATTTGCAAATTCTCCCCACCATTTCTGATCATTAAGAAAGAAGAAGAATTACCCCTTCAGGATTATATTTTGCTAACACACCACTGCCATGGAATTCTTCTAAGACATCCTTAATTTTCTTGGTGGAATCTGAATAAAGAATAAAGAGAGAGAAAATGAAAATACGGAAAACTGATTTACATAATATGAACTGTAATTAACGAAACAACAATCAAAACTGCTAATAGCTTTTCTCAATGCACATTAGTAATTTTCTTTAGCTGTACAAGAGAGCTGTGGGCACAAAGAAAATGAGAACATAAAATACCCTCTCACCAAACACTGTAAAAGCATCAAGCAAAAAGAAATGCTCAGAAACAAACACTCCTTGATCCAATCCTTAACTATTAAGTAGGATATTTCTAAAGGAGTTGTTTGCAGGATTATTTCAAGTCACTTATCTTTTCCTTGAAACCTGAGTCACCTAAAAAACCTGGTCATTCCCACCTACTAAATCTCCTTTGGCAGAGCTGCCAGTGAGTAGAGGAACTGTCAGAGGAGCCAGACAATATGAAGATAAAGGGGAACCTTGCAGAAAAAAAATCTTCATTGGTCATGTCACAGAAAACAAATGTTGCTCTCGAAACCTCAATTTTTGCAGACCTCTAAGATATTCTAACAGCTGTCAGTTACAGTAAATTCTGGATGTCTTTTGTCTAACAGAATTGTGCAAATCCCTGGAATTCAGAAGCATGTAGCTATAACTTTTCCGACTTGTTTTTAACAGTCTATGTGCAGAATAACAAAGCGGTTATCTCAGTGAGTAGCCACTACATAAAACCCTTTAACTCAGATTCACTTGGAATTCATCATGCACATAATCGTCTTTTCCACATTAAATATCTCAGCAATACAATAAAAATAATTTTAACTCCATTTTTTTCTTTAAAATAGAATAGTTGAGTGTAAAGTGGTCAAATGTGCATAATGGCCACAAGACTGAAGTAAACCATGACCTAGTAATGAGTAGCAGACGCAATGAAAAAGAGGTAAACTTAATGTCTGCACCCTTATTTCTACAACAAAACCTGGAAGGAAAGGAGACAAGCAAGGACTATCACATGAGCAACTAGCCAAACACTTAATATTGCAAACATTAGAACCTAATCTGGCTTTTGTTAATTATATAAACAAAATATAGTACTGTAATAGTTTTTAGACTTTAAAGAAATCCAGTATCTTAAACCTGACTCTAAAACATATATTTAGCAAAGTATGTGACCTGTAAGGAGACAATATAGTGCAAAGGATTTGAAAAATAGAGATGTAACAGTTCATAACAGCTATAGACCATCTATTGTCACTAAATGGATGTATTTCAATAGTACTGTCAACTGTAAGCAATGGAGTTTAGGGGGTCTTATGGGCAGTCAGAGCAAATATTTATTTGATAAAGTCATCTATAGTCTTATTGCTATGTCATTTGAAATACAGCAAAAATTACAACTTTATGTGAAAAAGACAAATGAACTATAAAAAGAATAAATCAATATAAGAAATAAAATTTATTATGAGCTGTAATTAGAAGTTGGTGGATTAGACATTTACTGTTTAGGACAAGCACACAAATTGATGACTGACAAAAATTTATTTTTTATTTGGTTTCTATTATTTTAATATGTTTTCCAGTATTCATATACATGGTTATATGTAAAAATCATTGCATCATTGCATCTTATGATAATGAATTCAATAATTATGAAAGCAGCAATGTGAGATGAGATGTATAACAGAGGTGATTCAATGTCATGCTAAAAAAAGGATTTTTCTGAACTTGGAGGAAAGAGGTTAAACAGACATCAAATAGAAAGACAGCAAGGTCTCCTCACATATTTTTATGAAAAAAAAAAAATAAATAAAATACATATGGACCACTTTCTAGGAGTTTAAAAACAGTGTTTTGAGGTTTTCGTCCAGCAATGACCATGCTTTTTCATTTCAAATTTTGTCGGTCTGTTCATCTTTAAATCAGTATTACCCTTATGCAACTGTAATTAAAAGCAAAACCTGTGTTATGTTACTTATTGGAAATAAATTAAATCCTTACTTTCCATTTTTTTCATACTTTTCTTAGTCAAGTACCAAGATAGTCAACATGCACAGCAACAACATCTTTTTCATGCTTAAAACAGTTCATATGCAAGAAGCACAGCTAGTTTCATGTTTGAAATAACTCTCAAGATAAAAATGGTCTGTGGATGTAACTTCTGCTTTAGTTGTCCAGCAAAATTTTTCAAGAGATTTCCACATTCTGGTCAGGAGCTGTAATTGTTTTGAGTACTAGAGCCAAGGCAGAATCATGTTTTCCAATCTTTTGTTCACAGTCATTCAATCATTTTTTCAGTTCATGTGACAGTATCCAAGCTAGAATAGAGATCTTTCAAAATGCTCAGAATGACATATCGATATTTTAAGTCAAACACCAACGCACAATCTTCTGCATGCGTACTCTTCAACAGTGCTGACAATCCTCAGAAAAATTAATTCTCCTTCCTCAGCCTCTAGCAGGCAAACTAGTACTAGGAATATGGTCCATCTTTCATAAGTTGACCTAAAGAGATATGAAGAATACATAATTTTCACTCTTGTTTGGAGAGCAAATTAAAAAAAAATAAAAACAGGAGACAGTGTCTTCGAAAGTTCTGTTCGACAGAAATGAGAAACTCCAATAAAATGTTATCAAGTCTAGTTTAAAAAAAAAAGTCAAGCACATGCTTTCCATCAAGAAATAAACAAAAAATTCCAGGAAATATACACAGAAGTAACTAGATATTTTTCCTAAGTATTTTTTTCCTAAGTTTTCTAAGCAGGAAATAACAACAATGCTATGGATTCCATTATAGTTTTGTCTGATACAAATCATCTACATAATCACTGGAAAATGATGATGTAAACACAAGCATCTAACCAGAATCTGTGTTCTCACTGTTACCCAAAAGTACAGATCTTCTGCTTAACTTAGCACTTCAAAGCAATCTCAGTAAATTCATAAGCCCTACTCATGTTAAAACACAAATATGGTCTTAAACTCTGTTGGATTACGCCTACCTCTTTTTTAAATAAAGGACAAATTCCTTCTTTGTCTAAGTCTCTGTATTCCAAGCTCTCCTCAAGAGAAAGTTTCTAAATACATGTAGATATAGTACATAGCCTGTCATGGCAGCACTTAAATCCATGTTATTTGCAAAGTTATAGCTGGAAGAGTGCAAATTTCATGTAGCTTTAAATGCAGTATGTTCCATGAAAAATCTCTTTTTTCTTTGTTATTTACAGTTCTGTTATTTTTATTACCCACCAGGGCAGTGCTTTGAGTATTCAGTCAAAATACAGAAGGCCTTCAACTCTCTCCCCTGCTTGAAAGCATTTAAACTCTTACTGTTCAACCCATCTTCTGTTGCAATTTGCATTTAGTCAAGAAGGTGGAAGGAGAAAAAGGGAAACTGTGGCCCAGGAATCAGAGTTTGCCTTGGATGAGGTGAGATGACATAACCTACCTCATGCTCCAGGAAGGCACGATGTGGAAGAGTCCTAACTGAAAAGCTATTACTAGTACATGGGGAAAAAGTAGCTGCATTCCATAGAGTGCTGTAGAAATTCTATTTTAAAATAAAGGCTCCAAAACAATAGAGATATAGAGACTTGGGCTAATGTTGTATTGTTTTAGAATAAAGGCAAAACAATTAAAACAATGATACCAGAAACAGGAAATCTGCATATATAACAGCAAAAGTATCAAAATGTCTATTTTTCCTTAACTATCGTTCAGCCCTAACAAAGATACTTTTTATAACTGAAGACAAATTTACATACTAAGTTCAAAACCGTTTGAGGTTTAGCCCACATTAAAAATTATTATTCATTTTTTACAGTGACTCAACTTCAGATGAAGAAAATTGAGCACTCAGTTGACTGGAATTTGGTGTACCAATTTCTCCCATAATTAGAAAACACAAAACAGAAGGAAAGCTTGCCCAGATCACACACTTTGTCTACATTTTTTCTCTATTATCCCAGAAAAATCCTTGAAAAGGATTTTTTTCTTTAAAAAAAGACTTATAAGACAACTTACATAAAATTCAGAATAAATCGCAAGCTGTGTACTCAGAATTGTTTTTCCATTTAAAGGGAAATAAGCACTAGAAAACAATGTTTGTATTATAATTCCCTTCTTATTCTCAACAGCAATTCATAACAACCTGCGTATTTATTGGACCATATCTAATTTTAATACCTACAACAAAAAGTAAAGCACTTTCTACCTCTATATCCTTTTTGTGAACTTAATGCAATATGAAAAATACCACAGGCATACAAAGTCCTACCAAGGTCAAGTTTAAAATTTATATAGAAAAGCTCCACAGAGATTTCCTATACATCTTATCAGGACTTAGAAAAACAAAAGGTCCAACCCTCTATACACAATTTTCTGCATGGCAACAAAGCCTAGCTCGAACTCGAAAGCTCTGCTTGACAGATAAGCCAAATGAGAAGCATTGGGAGAAATCCAGCAATCAATTCACATTGCAATTTTTATATAGGTTCTTATTCTATGGACTTTTGTGGATGAAACCTACAGCAATATGTGTATATATAAATTTATACACAGAGCTTTTTTTTCCCCTTTGGAATAGTTCATTTTGTTCAGAGCATGCCTTTACTCAAGCTATAGTTATGCTTAATCTAAAGCTTTACTGGTCTAGAAATGTCAGTGTGTTAAAAAGGCCACGCCTGCCAACAAATCTGTATGCAGCACCATAGAGTAAAAACTGTTCACCTCTCAACAAAAAGGTTGTTCCAGTAAAGACGTGGCTCATCTAGTGTGACTCAGCCTCGCAGCATGTCTGTGTTGGTAAGAGATGCCTAATGGTTGCTACTGAACTAGTAGAAGGCAGTAGCTTACATATGCTATGCTTCCCATACGTACGGCTGCAGGCTCACTAGCAAAGCTCTTTTAATTTAGGTCACACCTCGGTTTTGGTTTGTGAGTTTTTTGATGAAAATTTCACAAAGAAGACAAACATTTAAAACTTTTAGTGGGATAAACATTCAATTTTGGTTTTCTTGTAGTGAGAATTTAAAACCTATTACGG